AGAATAATGCAAATATTTTGTAGTATTTTGTAGTTTACCACAGCGAATTGGATTAAACCTGGTTCACTCTAGTGTTTAGTCTCTAACACTTTGTCTAAACTGTTCTTTTGCTGCAAAACTTGGGTATTTCTTTTTAAACCAAAAATTAAATCTCCATCTCCCATGAGGAATTGTACTATTTCTAAACAAATTATATCTGTTTCATTTAAAAATATTTTTTCAACCAATTCCATTTCCATGCTCTCTAGTTAAGCTACACAGGCATGTGGGATTTTATCTGGCCCTGATCAATAGAAAATTTGTTGCCATGAGTCTGGGATAAATTTTCAGTCCTCACAAAACATAACAGGTAAGTCCTCTCTCAGCTCTCAGTAAGTTCTGCTGTGGGTAGGCCCCAAATCATCACACCAGGGGTTAAAGATAAGTAAGCAGTGGCTTTACAGCCAGTATGAGGAAGACCAGCAGCTCAGAAGGAGCAGTAAAATGGGTCAATTAATCTAGGAAGGGAATCAGATCCTCCTGAAAAAAAAGTCCTATTGGTACAAGTGCTGTCAGCTAAAGACTAACAATGTCCTCAGTAATGTTGATATGAATGTGTGAGAGGAAGAGGCAGAAGAACAATAAAGTGCATTTAACATACTCTTTTTGTTCAAGGTTTTGAAACCACTGGATTATGTGATTATATTCAAAATCTTTCTAGTACCACTCTTTAAATGACTGGACTCTTTGTAAAATTGTATTTCAAGTTAGGGCTTATGTCCCATTCCAATTGCACTTCTGTTTAGAAGTCTCACAAAGACTTTCCTATTTTGTCATTTAGTAATATGGCTTACCAGGGTCAGAGGGGGAAGAAATGTACTGTTGTAAAGAAAAAATAAGAAATATAAAGCAGTTCCTAGCCTACAATAAATATTTTCCATGTAAGCATTTCATTTTTTAATATACTTTTTATTAATCTACTTCAAATAATTGTTTTAAAGACTCTGATATACATAAAATGAAATGTCTGACAAAACTGTCATTATAAGCAGTCAAGAAAGATATATTATTTCATATGAATAAAATCAAATCATGAAAACTTTCTGAAGTAAAGCTACCCTTAAACCTGAAACTCTGGAGACATAGTAACTCATAGCAAAATGTATTACAAAATTATTTAAAAACAGAATAAAATATAACAAATCTGGAAAATCAGAGCAGAGTTTAAACTTTAATGTAATCTCATTATAATAAAACCTGAAATCATACTGATTATCTCAGCCCTGTTGATGTTGCTATTCAGTGACACAAATGTAGTAAATATGATTATAATGAAACCATTTTTGGTTTTTATTCTCTTACAGGATTTTAAAAAACAAAAGGACTATCTTTTCTCTCTCCCTACACCCAAATAAAATGCTTGCAAAGTTTATACAGTTCCAGGCACACTGAACATATGTAGATTATAAAGTGTTGCAAGGATCCACAGATGTGTTGCAAATTATGGTCCAAACTGTGACCCAGTTTGCATGGCTATGCAGGATAGGAGGGAGAAAAAAGGAATAAAACTTTCCTTTATTGCTAACACCCAGGGGAGCTGTAAGAGGCAAATAAAAAGAATAACCACGATAGGGAATCTTGCACTGTATGACCTAGTTGCACCAGCACGTAAGAACTCAGGCACTGAAAGGGAAAGCCAGGAGATTCATTGTCTCTTTGAGCCACAATTTGCCTCTTCGTTTACTTAAAGGCAATGCAAAAATATACTTGGCTTTGTTTGGGGCTAAAGAGCAGGCAAGACCCAACTGTAATTATTTCTGTGAAAATTGGTTGATTTCTATGTGTAGTTTAGGTGTTTCTTTGAACAACTTAGTTGATAACACTGTCTTATCCTTCATAATTAAGTATGATTATTTTGATTGTATCACCCTTCAACAATTAAGCCAGATACATACAGCTCATTCCTTCCATGCAGTAGTCAGAGACTGGATCCATTTCCTGCCATGTCTTTCTCTTTCATTGCAAACAGTTTGAGCTTCAGCAGAGTCTTAGCTTTTCAGATGAACAAATTACTTCCATCACTGTGAAATGTGATGAAGATACCTCAAGCTGAAATGCAGACTTGTGAGCACGCTATGTCAGATTATGTATAAAGCAAATTATAGCAGCCATTAACAACAAAAAAAAATACTAGTTTTAATTGACTACATAAAGGAGGAAGAGCATTCTTGAGATATATATAATACAGTCCTTTCTTTAAAGCAGAGCACTTAACTAAAATTTGGTGCCTGAGAATAGAAAATATTCACAAAGTGATTTTTTCCAATCACTAATCATAGTAGTAATCTAACCCAGATTATTTAGATCTATAAATTCTTAATCTTATTACTTTACTGTTTCTCATTCTCTGTGTTCTCACAATATTTTTCTTCTCTCAGGGAGGGAGACAGCAGTCTCTGTATGTATGCAGAGCTTTAATGGTGCCATACCAAATGAAAAATAACTGTCTCTACCATTAAAATTCTCAAGTGATGTTAGGAGGACTTTCTTTTTTGGACTGTAGAAGGTTCCTTTGGGTTTGGCTGGAATCCACCTTTGTTTCAGCTGTCCTTTAAGGAGCATAGCTTTCTCTCACAAGTTTATGGAAGTTACTAGTGGTGAGCCCCACCAATTTTCATTATATTTAACTTGCCATCTCACAATATACAGAATGTTTTAAAAACCATTAATTAGATTAATTAAATTCCAAAAGCAAAGGTTGTTATTACTTTTGCATCATCCTGTTTTTGCATCAAATGCCTTTCATTTGAACGCCCACTAATGACAGCTTTTAGAATCCTCTGGATTCAGTGGGATTTAACATGCCTCAGTGCTGGTGAAAACAGTATCCTACAGTGTATCCAGACTGATGCTCTAGAAGGTTTCTTCACATGATGTTCTTTGTCATGATTATTGCTCCAATTCTGTTGGGACTTCTAAATGAACTGTAAGGGACACTGTAATGAAAAAAATAATGTAGTGACTTTCATAAAATCACAACATTACTTAGGCAAAACACTAAGTCACTCGAAGCAATAAATATCTGATCTGCATCTAAACTTTAGCTGTGTTTCTGAGTTTCTGGTTAGAAAACATAATATATTAATGCCCTGCAACTTGCACTGTGCTCACTTTAAAATTTATATTAAGTAGATTGTTACATTATGGTAATGTACTAAATTACCTAAAGCAAAGTAATACAATGATTAACTGACCATAAACATTGGTTTATGGTCAGTTTATAAAGTATTACAAAGATTAACATTATGCATTTTCATATCAGAAGAAAATTGCAGGATGAAATATCTCTGGATGGACTTGATGCTATTAAGAATAATAAAACAGTGGTATAACTCACAACAGTCTCAAGTTACAGCTTGCAACTAAACTTTGGTTTAAATCATCTTTGAAAACAGCAGAGATAGTCATCGTTTTAAAAAATGCCCAAAGCTTTCCAAGCATAGAATAATGGTTTCCAGTATATGTTTTCTAATATATAATGTATTACCTTTTTTTTGCCTCTTTGTTATTCAGCATATCATGTCAGATTCTGACCTGGCATAGCTACTCTGATACCAGAAGCATTTTACCATCTTAGCCAAGACAAATAGGGATCTCTTTTATCAGATTCTAATATTCATCCTAAAAAAGCTAGAAACAAAGTTCAGTGCTTTTTGAGTTAAATTAATTTAATTGTGCATAAGTAAAACTGCCATTCACCTGTTTTTCCTGGGTTTCATCTGGTCTGTCTGTGAGTTTAACCCTAGCAGCCCTGTGGGTTGTGGCAGACAACACCCTATGAGGCAGCCGAGCTCCCTGCAGGGAGGAAGGCTCACTGCAGACAGCTGCAGGAACCAGAGCGAGGTCAGCAGCTCCAGGGAGGAGATAATCCCCCCCTGCTCAGTCCTAGTGCAGGTTTGTCCGTACTCCAGGTTTGGGTTTACTGATGCAAAAGAGACACTTAGAAGCTGCAGAGGAGGGAAACCATGATTTGGAGATGGCTGGAGTACTTGACGTGCTCGTAAAAGCTGAGGAAACTGGGTCTGAAGTCTGGGAGGGTATCTACTTGCCTTGAGGGCAGTTACAGAAAATGCAAACAGATGCTCCACATAGGTGCACTGTGAAAGGAAAGAAGTCACAGTCACAATTTACAGAAAGAAAATTACAATAGAAATTAAGGGAAAAAACAATGCGCAAAGGGAACTGAAAAGCCCTGGAACAGGTTGTTCAAGAACTGTGGGAAACTGTCCTTGGAGATTTTTCAAAACTTGGTTGGACAGGTCCCTGGGTGACATGATCCAGTTTGAGATTAACCCTGATCCAAGCAGAAGGCTGGACCAGATGGCCTCCAAAATCTCCCTATAACCTAAATTTTTAGATGATCCTATGATTCTCCTTCTGTGTTCCTTCAGCCTTAAAAAATGCCTTTGGCTACTACTGCATTAAGATTTCTATATTCTAAAGGTTAAAATCAGAACACTTTTTTAGGTTTTCCTATGCAATCGTGAGGTCTAGAAATATGCTTAATTTTTAAATAAAAGATAAGAACTACTTTGGCTGTAAAATTGGTTGTAAAGAACCAAAAGACACTTAAAATACTGAAAAATTTCTCATTGACTGAAATCTTGAGAGACAACAATGTTTTTGTTTACTCCACACAAATTATTAACGTGGTAACTGAAAGACATATTGAAGATGCTGCACTTATTATTACAGTTGATTCCTAAACATCAAAATATTATACTATATTTATATACACATTTGAAAATAGCATATGTCTTATTTATTCATTATGAAATAACATATGAACAGCATCACCTGGTAACAGCTGTAAAAAAAAAAAAATAATGAAAAATCCAATATACAGCCTTTTCTAGTTTTGTCTGGCAGCATTCCTCTCTCTTTCCACTCATACTGGCACTTTCAGGAAGGAATGCAAGATGTCCTCAGTCACTGGGGAATTTCATTATTCTTACCCAAATTTTTCTGCTCAAAAATGGTTTTCCCAGAGGCACTTCAAAATGCTCATTCACAAATGCAAACAACAGCTTTCTCCAGCTCTTCTCAAGAAGTCACTACTTTCCAGACCATTTCCATCAAGCATTTTATCTTGATATGCAGTCATTAAAATAACTGTAACAGAAATGTTTATGATCTAATTTGGCTCATTTAGTATTTCATACTGGATGGCTAAATTATGTGGTAAATTTGTGGCTAAAATACTTAAGGCAAAGCTGCACACAGTGCAAGTACAGAAATAGGACAGCAGTAAATAAAGACCAGAATTGACAGAGGATATAAGGTAAGAACACTGGTTTTAAGGTGTAAGAACAATGAAATTAATGGCAGGCAGCTGTCATCAGCACAGCAGACATCTGTGGGCACAGGCATCAAAAGTATTCCAAATTAAAGAAGGCACAAGAGAAACTAAGAAGGAATATGATAAGGAAGGCTCTGTTTGAAAGAAAAAAAAAAAGCATCAAGAAGTGACTTCCATCCATCAGTGCCTCTCTCCTAATACATGAAAGTAGATCTTGCTAATGGTGAGTGTAAAGTATGAGCAGGGGCAGTTATTGGCTTTCAGGTGAGAAGTTATAAAATCTTATTACTATGCTGACTATTTCCCATCAGTTCAGACTACATTTCTTTGTTCTTGTCTAGGAAAAATTTATCCCACTTCCAACTGCCTCATCTATAGGCATGAGTGGGTGTCTGAAGGGCTGCACTCATCACATTTCCTTTCAGTTGAGTGGGACAGATTCCCATGGTACTCAAAAAAAAAAGTTAGGCACAGATATCGCACTAGCACCACAGAAATAAATCCAGGAAAGCAAAATTTTCTGACCCTGGAAGGGATTCAAACTGAAATTATTCTAAGTTGATAAGATGCATATATAAGGCCCCTCAGTACAGTAGAGTTACTGTGAATTTTTAAATTTCAGCCTCCTGGATATTTTCTGTGCATTACCTAAAAGACTTAAATGTATCCAGAGAGAGATTTTATTTCAAAAATTATTGTCATCACAAGATTTTGAGAACTATTGCCTTTTAAATTGTTCTTTGAAAGGAAAAAGATGGAACCAAAATTTTTACCCAAAGAAAGTAATGCTTTATGACTGTCCTACCTACAAAGCATGGTAATGTGTCTCCTCTTCTGCTGCCATGAACATGGCCTTGTGATTTCTCTCTGCAGTTTTAAGACAATTCATAATTTTTTAGTTTAGTTTAGTTTAGTGAACAGATTTGCATGGTTACAGCCTGCACCATTAAGTATTGGAGAACCTTGATAAAACTGAAAAAATGTGTTCTAAGCTTTCTTTCTGGCTTAGACTTCAATGATGTCATGTCACTGGCTCTGAAAATTGTCTGGCAACAGAATGATGATGCATGCACAGAAGTTCATTCTCCAGGGTACACCAGAAAAGCTTATGAGTTAGCCCTCACAAGACTTACTATTTCTAATACTAAAAGTGTATGCTTTGGTGAAAGGTCATTACTTCTGCCAGAGCTGCTGTACTGAAATCTAATTTGTTGCCATCGGGAATATTTTCCTAACAAAAGTGGCATCAGAAGAGGTAAATACTTCATGCTTTTTTCAGTGGCATTTCATGTTGACTTGTAAGGTCTGAGTTTGATGTGTTTTCTCAGTGATTAAGTAAAAAACTATTGTCTAGCTAATTCTTACTTTTCAGAAGCAATTTGAAAACAGATATTTTGTGGCCACCTTTTTGGTGGGATGGATGGATGGATACAAAGATGACAGAGCCAAGCTCTTGTCAGAATGAACAAGGTGAAATGACCACTGAGTGCAGCTCAGAGGTTTGATTTGCTGTGCCATTTACACTATTGGCTTTCACAACCTGTTGCTCAAAGGAGAAGATTATGACCTATGAGTAGAAAAATATTGCCTTATTCCCTCTGAATAAACTAAATTCTTCTTAAATTGAAAGAGGATCTGAGTAATGATGTTTTTAATCACTTAAATGGAGAAAGGACAATACTGAGTGGCTAAACTTGCTTATAATTTTTCCAGGTACTGCCAGTGTTTTATATAAATATATGCTATTTTATATTTTATCTGCTTCATTAGGTGAAATTTCAATAGTAGAACATGGAAAAATCGTCCATGGCATAAGCAGTTACAGCTAGACTGAAGACACTGGATAGCCTGCATGAGTTTTGCCTGGAAAGTTTTCATAACATAACATTTGCATTTGCAGAGAAATTTTCTGTGGAAATGCAGTTTTTCCTGGAGGCTTCCTAGTTACACCAGGTCAATGACTAATTTTAAATTTATATGTATAGATATATATATTTTTTAGGATTAGTTTGGCTGTGGTTTTGCCTAGACAAATCCTAGACTCTAGTCTCCTCTCCTTTCCTGAAAAAAAAGACTTTAACCAGGGTTGAGATCTGTATTACTGTACTAAAATTTAATTAATTTTAAGGACAGAGGGAGACCACAGGCAGATACATGGAGATAAGGTGACTGCATATCTCATCTTTTCTTAGCATCATATCCTTGGAAATTGATTTGGCCCCATATCAACATGGTTAAAAAATAAGCTTCTTTCATGATCTCCAAAAGCAATTTCTATACTGAATGTTCTAGATATCTAAATATGCATGCTCTCTCTTATTTATCTCAAATAAAGGGAGGCAGGGCATATAATAAGAAGTGTTTGCGAAAGTCAGCTGAGTCTAATGAAGTTGGTATATATGGCTAGCATCAAAAAAAATGTGCTAACGTTCTTTCTCCACACAATGCAAAACAGGAATAGTGACACACAGGGGCTGCCATGGCTCCTATTACCTTCTCTCGTAGCCTCTTCTCTACACATACATATCCCCTTGGTAATTTTGTTCTCTCTCTGCACTCAAAATCCCTCACTGCTGAATGCTGTGGAGCTAAGTACTGTGTTATCAAGGTCTGACATTGTCTCATGTTCATCAGGGCAGTTTGGGATTCCATGATTTTCATAACTTTCTAATAATTATCTGTGATTTGCAATATTCTGGAGTCCTACATGAGAGCCAGTGGACTGGGTGCACAGAGTGAGCCTAATTGCTCAGAGTGGAACAAATATAATTAGAAGCTGTAAAGTTGAGCTAGGCACTGTTTGGGAGGTTAATAGAGAGGAGGAGCTCAGCCTGACAAAGGAGCCCACTAGCCTGGCTGACTTGAGCTGAAGGACTGCACATGATTGCACATAGTGGAACAAATTTCATTACAAGCCTCACGATCAACATTTTTAAAAGATTAGTGGAATGGGTCAAGTTCACAAGAATAATTTGGTTACTACAAAAACATATCCATGACAATTGACACTTTCTACGCAATCATAGTATTTTTGTCCTTCGAAGTCCCAGCCCTGCTATGACATAATTGTTCAGGTTCACTCAAGTGCTTACTGTGTTTGACCAAAGCACCTAATTAGACTAATGACTGAATCTACTCCTTTCTGTGGGGCACCAAAAATAGTAGAGGGAGAAAAAAGCCTTTATTTTTAATGTACTGAAGGAATTTGTGGTGGATTTGAAAGGCAAATCTGCAATCAAACATTCCCCATTGATTTTGAGATTAAAATAGTGGAAGATGAAACTCAAATGTGATATATACATCTGTGAGTGCATGTACATATGTATACGTATGTATGTCTATATCTCTCTACATAAATCCATGCTTCTTTGCTAATTATTATCTTTTTCTATTGATTTCTACTGTGATATGTAAGGTTAGGCCAAGTGATGTTAAAGTCCTTTGATTCAGATTCCAACATTTCCTTTTCTTCTCTTAATAAATAGTCTTTTGACATGTAAGTGCAATTGCCCTCTGAGTTTCCCCTTTCAGTGATTGCCTAATCAAAAACATACCCTGGTTTATGGAACATGAAGGATCTCAGAACAGCTTATCTTGAAAATCACAGTAAGTTCAGCACTACTGGTAGTTATTTTAAAGAATAATAGATAAAAGAGATACAAGGCAAAACCCAAAATATTATACTAATGTAGGATATTTATTTTGCATTTAAAAACCTTCTTCCAAGCTTTGCTCTGATATAGATTACATATAAAGCACATTGACTTGGTAGTATTAAAGGATGACAGGCAGGGAATTTTTTCTCTGAAAATGCCATATTAATCAGCATGAGTATATTCCTCTGAAATTATTTATAGAATCATTTCTCATAACACTTCAATTTTCTTAAGGATGCTAATATGCATTTTTTTTTACACAACTTTTCAATAAAATAAAGTAAAAGACAAAGAAATGCTGCATTTGAGCAAAAGCATGCATGCACAAACTTGGTGAAAAACAGTTTCAAAGAGTCAGATTTTTAAATTTACCTAAATTACCTAGTGTGTAATACACTAATACTTCTGGAAGGCATGGAAATTTAATTACCCCCTTCTTCAGAATAAGAGCTGAGGTACTAACCTCAGGTTGGCAAGTGGTTACTATCATGACTAATCGTATTAAAATCAATGACAGTTGTTGTGCATGAAACTGCTCAGCAAGCTGAATAAAAGATTTCACATTCTGACTCCAAAAGACAAAGTGGTTTGCCCAAGGTCTATAGTCTGGGACTCAAAAACCACTTAAGCTTGTCCTTAATTTGTTGCACATGTTTAAGTGTTTTTCTGCAGCACAAATAAATAGGGAATTATCGATAGAATTTAAATCTAGGTCTCTCAAGTACTAGGTCATTTCCTTAATCATAAGACCACCTTGACTATATGTGATAAATGTTAACGGGAATTGAGTACGTCTTATGTGTCCATATTTGCTGAGTTTTATTTTGTTTTATAAATCTGACTGCAAGGGGATAAATCCTAAATGCATCTTACTTTTTTATGGGAAGATATCTTGGCTGAAGTATGAAAAGAGAGCAGACACAAGGTAGGACACAAATCCCTGCAAATGAGAAGACGAAAAGATTGCTCTTACCCCAGCAGCATAATTCATACAGCATAATTCATAATCAGGCCTGTCTTTGTTAATACTATGTCATGGTGGGTTCCTACAGAAAGCTGGCAATGCAGCAGGTATCAGCAAGTTCTTGAAATGCGTTCACAGTGCACATCTGGAATTCAATATATTTTTTGTAGTTCTAGCAGTAACATTTTTTAGAGTTGCTCTCTTACAGGCAAAATAGTCTTTGAGTATGGGAGATGTAGAGAAAAACAGTCAAGAACAGTTTCATACAATATGTGCAGCTTATTTGTATATGTGAACCAAGAATGGGGTATCTCTTCTACAAACACCTGGCTCAATATTGATCAACCTAGGTTTTCACTTAGTATACACCAATCTATAAATATAGCCTAAAACTCAGTTCCACAGAAGTATAACTGGTATGGGATAAGGCACTCTGGGAAAGGTGATATGCTGTACCACTAAAAAGATATGAAAGATAGTTCACTGATGTGAACCATCTTGCAGTCAGCGTCTGTCTTAGGGATTCTTAAAGATGCATATACAGTTAATTTATTAGCATTTTAAAATTTGTTTTCTTATAATGTTGTGTTTTCTGAAGCTCATGCTAAAAGACTACAGATTTATAAAGAAATGTTTACTTGCTATTCAAGGTAAATTGCACTTTGATCAAGATATCCAGGAGAACATGAAACAGTAGAGGTTGTTCCCAGGGAATTGCTTGCTACTCTTTGAAGGTGCATTGGAGGGGAAAAAAGAAAAGAAAAAACAGACTAAAAGCACTTACTCTAGTATAAATATTATGTTGCAAGAAGCTGGCTCTGGAAATCTATTATACTGTGCAGGCCAGAGTCCCTCCTGCTGAACTGAGGTGCCAGCAAAGCAACCCTTGGAGCCCTGGCATAACTGCTACATTTCACACAGCAAAGAAAAATTGATCTGTGATATACAATAATACTAGAAATACTAAAAATACTTAATGTACTTTATTTTCCAAGTCATTAAACTCGCTCTCATTGCTTTATATATGTACCAGAGACTGTGCACTAAAGCTTGAGATTTTCTGGTAGGAATTATGGGTGGGACACTGAGGAGTTTTGGTGGTTAAGGATGCCCAGAAGCTGCACACAGATTATAATGGGTCTTTTGTACACACCTTAAGAGGTACCAAACAAATGCTACTGCTGCCACTTTGTATTCACAAAACTGTGGGTGGAATGTTTGATTGAAGAGGCAAGGAAGAAGGGAAAAACTCACATTGGAGTAGCTCAGCTGTACATTGTCTCCCAGTAGTATGTCGGAATTTATCCTTGTGGCATCAAGAGTAGCTGATCAGTGACCAACCAAGTAGAATTATTCTGTAAATGGAAGCATTTCAGAAAGTTATAATTCGCTCCTGGACTACTGTTTATTGCTGCATCTGCTACATCAGATGTAGTGAGGAACCAGACTCATGGTACCTTATTTCTTGAAAAAAGACAAGGATGGCTCCCACAGGGAGAAATTGTTTACTTTACACTATCCTTTTTTATTTTACTCATGTAAGGCACTGCTTCAATAATAGACTCCATCCATCTATGCCTTTCTAGTAGAATTCTTGAATGACTTAATCACTCAGTCTGTACACTGCATATAAAACCTTCCTTATGATGTAGTCTACTATAAACAAAAAATTATCATAATTCTTCTAAAAAACCTAGGGATTCATGCCCAGAAAACATCCTTTCATCCATCCTTTGGGGACAGAGACACTTGGATAATGTATATGCCTTGCGTACATTTCTCTCCCTAAATGCAGCAGCTGGAATGAAACCGTCTTTGTAGATAAAGTTGATGTTTTAATTTTTTTACCCTGAAGGACAGTATATAATGTAACTTTTCAATTTTCATTAACTGTGGCTCAGGTTGCTATAGGCTAAGCTCTCAGCTATGAATTAAAGTAAAGCAAAGAAACTCTACAGAGGAACATTTCAGCTAAATGCCAACTTTGGTGTTTTGTGGCAGTGCTAAGCTTGGATAGGACTGCAGCAATTATGTTTCTCTCCTGCTTTTCTAATAGGAAATTCACCAGGAAGATTTACTTTCTTCCCCCAGTTCTCAATCCCACGCCCCTAGGTAGATACAATGCTGAGGTGTCTTAACTGAAAATGTAAAAGATCAGAATTAATAGATTTAAGAGAAATAGGATGACACTCGGAAAGAAAAGCTAAAGCAGAATATATAGGGTAGGAAATTAATAATTTCAAACAGAAGTAGAATAGCCTCTAGAACAATGGTTACTTTGGTGACTTAACATAGCTCCAATACTAGAAAACATACTGACTATATTAAAGCAAGAGACAGTGTCCAACAGAGTCTTTCCTACTCTAAACTTGAATACAGATACCTCTGTTGAATTCTGAGCTTTCTCCTTGAATGATATAATGGTCATAGGCCTGGTTGCACCACTTCTCAAAATTAAGTTAACACTGTCTTCTGAGAGAGTTTTTTTAGATGCTAGCATAAACTTCCGAATTACTGGGAAGATGACATTAAACATTGCCAAGTCAGAAAGTCTTAATACATATGTTTAGGATGTCATCTGATAATTATTGCACTTGCTTTTTAGACCAATTGATTATACAATAATGTATGTATATATATAACTGTATACAGCATATACAATATGCTTTATTAACAAGTGTATACGCTTAGAAAAACTAAGACCATGGTTTCTATCCAGTCTTCTAAAAACTAATTTTAGGTATGTTGGACAGATTTCATGGACTTAAATGTGTCAGTCTTTAGGCAAGGCTTCAAACCATCAATGGTCCTCACACAGCTTGCTAAAGTTGAACTGAATAGTTTTTATTTACAATTTAGTTTCAAAATTTCAAAAATGTAACTAGATATTATGACATCAGTGTAGATATATGATATATATATCTTATATAATGTAGAAACACACAGAGACAAGTATATTTTCCCTATTTCTGTTTTGTTCCTCAAAACTGGGAGAAGGGGAGGTCTCCCATCTTAAAACACAAAAGAATTTGCAGAACGGACTGGCAGTATGAAGAAATCAGCTCTTAAAACCAAAGAACTGATCTTTAGGCAATATCATCTTATATAGTCTCTACTGATTATGTTAAAAAAGCAGATGTATGGTACAGAAACTGTGACTCTGCTTTATCTTTGTCAAGCCATTACATTGTCTTTCTTACATGGCAAGTGAAGAAGAAATGATGCAGTTCATACTCACCCAGTTTGGCCCAAATGAAGACAACATATTGAATACGAGATTTATGCAGAGGACCTGTCTTTCCTATGACATAAACAAAATTAATTATTTTTTCCTTAGTCCTTTGGATCTGAAGCATTTATTTCCCTAATGCTTTGAGACGTCTCTGTGTTGATGGGGGTACTAAACTGTAAGCTACCATCAGTGATCAAAATACTGGCATAAAATGAATGTAACTTTAAAACATAAACAATGAACATATTTAATGTTAAAATAAATCTAAAAACAATCTTATTGTCACATACGTAGAGCTATTCCTAAGCTTCAAAGATTTAAAATATAATATTTAAGGGTGATTTACCTTGATTGAGATACAAGATACCATTTGTTACTCTTTCATCCCAATGTAAATCCAAACTGTATATCCTTGATGACTTGCTATGGCAAGGATTCTTTTGGAGTGAGTGGAAGTCCCACCTGTTGTTCATACTGTCACAATCTGGTTCAAAGGGCTCAGCATCACATATCAGCTTGTCCATGAGAATGCCCAGTGCTAGTCCTCAGTCCACAGCAAAGGGAAGGTGAGATAACTGAAGTTAAATCTTTTCCAGGTACTATTCTCCAGCTCCTGCCCTACAGAGCTGTTCTGTTGAGCCCTTAGTGTTACAGCAGTTCAAAGTCCTTTGCTTCCACTATGTTTTAAGTATTCACTGGAAGGGCTGGAATTGCCACTCATGGCTGCTGAAGGGTACCCAGCTAGCTTTGATTTATTTCAAGGCTTTCAAAAAGCATGTTAAAATTCACTTGCTGGATATTCAGCTTCTTTTCTTGTTGAAAAGCAGAAGCTGTAATCATAAATAATAGTACCTTAATCTATTAGTGGTCTTACTAACAGTTACATAGAACACTTAATAATAAAATAACATTTTAAGCTATAAATACTAAATCAAGATGGAAACAGATTGTCTTATACCTCAATATAAATTGCAGATACAATACAGCCTAAAATTCAAGCTGAGATTTAAGATGATTCCCAGATACTTAAATTCCAAGGCATAATTTAATATGGGTTTAGCTAAAGTACTAATGTTTAATTGCTCCTTACAAGAGCTCTTTCAACAGAAGACTTGATTATGCCTAAACCAGGCCAGAATGATATTAAAATCATGCTGCAGAGCAATATAAATTTGACCTATCACTGATGCAGTTCCATAAAGAATGGCACCATCTTCATGGAGAACCATTTATTTATATTTTATTTTGATTTTGTACAAACTTGATAGCTTCAAGGAAATAAGCTCTCAGAAAGGAAATCATATACTGAAAGCCTGAGAATTTGTTTAATCAATTCTTTTCTTTGTAATTAGATAATACGAAAATGAGCAACCTTGAATATGTGTTATACAGATAGTCCTTTTAACAACATTTTGCAGCATTCAGTTATGTTTTGGTATGTTCAAGCTGAGTCAAGAGATCAATCACAACTCAGCAATAAGCAGGATCTGAGTGGATCTCTGGAGATCACAGACTGCATCCCACTCCCTTGGACAGAAAGCACTCATACATTCACAACATTCATGAAGTGTGACAACTAACCCGCTATACCACCACCACATCCCCAGGAAACTTGTGTGGATTTATCATCCTTACTGCACACCTGGAAAACCTGTTTAAACTAAGCATTTCTTATTGAAGTTTAAACCTACTACTTCTCCAGTCCTCCCTAAGGATAATTTTTTTCCCTAAGGATGAACTACTTTCTTCCCTGAATCAGTGTGAAAATTTTTGCCATGGTCTCTTTCTCTCCAGACTTTCCTAGACCAAAGAACTGCATCTTTTCATTCTTTTATTTTTCAACTTCTAACCAGCTTGTCTGGACTGGTTTGGACCCCCTATCAATACGAATCCTACTGCACATGAGTAAAACTGAAGTTCTGTCAGTTCCAGCCATGGTGGACAATTCACTTCACTTATTCTGCATACCAGTGACAACTCAACATACAGCCTGGTGTAGTCTTTCCCTTTTCCAGATGAAGGATATTGTTGACTAATGCTGAGTGTACTGTTCCCAGATATTTTTCGGAACTGTTACTGAACTAGGTTCTCATCCTCTCTTTGCACAGTTGATTATTTTTGCCCAAGGGCAATATTTTGTAGTTGGTTTTAATTAATTTCTTATGTTTTGCTTCTCCAAGCTGCTTCTCCATTTGTCAAGGTTGCTTTGGTTTGTAACCCTGTATCCCAATAAACTCACTGCTGCGCATGGTGCCATGAGCAAAGGCCAGCTGTATGTTCCAGTCCTTTATCCAGGCTGTTAATGAAAACACTGAATGCATCCGAAACTAAAGCAGACATTTGAGGAATCAAATATTTACGTATCTTCACAAAATCTGACAACTATTTTCTCAGTGTGTTTATCACTCAGTTTTACAAGTGTTCCCTACTAATGAAATAAATGATGATGTCTTTTCTAAATAATATACAAGACAGTGTCCAAGAAACTTACAAAAGTTATCTACTGCTATGCTCTATTTTTGTAGCCCATTACCAAAAAGAGTGATATAGGAATTATAAAAAAATCAATTAAAAATTAAATATCCTATGAAATATAAAAATTTTCTAATTTGTTGCAACTATTTTTCCCCCTTCCCATTCCTGGCTACATTACAAGGCAATTTTACTTTTTGTTGTTGTAGTCGTTGTTGTTGAATATATTTCTACTGCCTTAAAGCAATACAATTTTTTCTACACAACAGGACAGGAAGAGTCCTAAGGTGGGAGTACTTTTCTGTAGTCCATGGAGCAACCTTCACAGAACAACTCAACTCAGTGTCTCTGGAAATACAAGAGTGGCCCTAGCACAAGATTCCAGGTGTACCTAAGCCTGTTCTGTGATGCTATCCTATGTACAGCCATTTTGGGTGCTACAGGATTAGAGGACCTTGCTGATATACAGGAGAACACAAAGGGTCCAAAAGAAAACTAATTTATTTAGATATCAACATGCTTCCAGAACCGGCTCCTAGTGGCCTTCTGGTCATAAACCATAGGATCCTTAGGCTTTCTGGTCATAAAATGAAGACCCTTTTTTAAACCTTGAGCCCCACTTTGTCTTGAAAGTAACCGCGACAGGTTATGTAACCAGAGGATATCCCACATTTACACACACAGCCTGCTCCATGTGTTCCAGAGGATGGATGGAGGCACACACCACCCAGCCAAGTGACAGGATGGGAACTGAATGTACAGCTTGCAAAGACTTCCAGATATGAAATATCTTTCATTTCCTTTACCTCCTGCTCATAGAAAAGAGACTATATCAGGTATGGAATATAACAAAGAAGACAGGATGAGAATCTACATGCCCTGGAAAAGGGACAAAACTCAAGCAAGCTAATAAAGTACCCATAGGAACTTCTACCTTCAGATAGTGTCTAGATTCACTTCAGCTGGAGCCAAAGCCATCCTTATCAACTGTCTTCCAATTCCTAACCCAACCATCAGGGTACTTCTCCAGGCAACAAAACTCTATTTGTATTAACAATTATCATGGTACTGTACTTATCTGGAATGGGTGCCATATGTAAATCATTCCATTACTAACCCTTTGAAACCAAGAGAAGAACCTGAAATCTCACTAGGCAAAGGATTAAAAGGAAAAATTCATCAGTTCATAGTAGAATTCTGCCTAAGAAGGAGTTTTGGGCTCCAGAAAGAAGAGCTCTACACAAGAACTCTCAGGTATGGAAGACTGAAAAAAAACAAACCACAAACAAAAATACAAACAAAAAACCCCAAACAAGCTTCCCAAAAAACCAAACTACCACCATCACCTCCACCAACATAACCCACCAAAACAAACAAACAAAGAAACAAACAAACAAACAGGAGAGTTTGAAATTACTATTCAGCTCCATGCAGTGTAATTCTACAGTATAATGGAAGAAGCTTGGGATAGATCATATTTCTCAACCTGGGGGGTTGTTTCATAACTTTTCAATTTCTTAAAAATATTAAGCAAATATCAAATCAAAAGGATTTTTTCCCCTAGACATGTGTCATTTGGAGGAATATTCTGCAGCAGACTGTGACTTCTGACCTGAGCCCAGCAGAAAATCAGCAAGTCCATAAAGATGAACGTGGACACATCCAGTCGGAAAAAAAAATCAAAGGGCTGGAGTTAGTTTCTTAATTAAGGCAATTTGAGTAAAAATAACGAAGGCGGAAGTCACATTTCTGCAAAAGCAATTTGGCAGAAGGGCTAGCCCTCTTCTTTATAGTACTTCAGATGAAAAAGGAAGATGCTATTAGTTGCTTTCTTTGTTAAGTGTTTGAATTGAAACCTTGGTGCCACTCATTTACTATTTGCCAGTAGCATTGAGTGACTAATTCACTGCCTGCATTTATTCAACTAAATTATCCTCTTTTTCTTCTTATGGAATATCCATCACTAGATCATGATTTTTTAGTTTAAACATACTCAACAAATATTACCCTGCAAACAGATTACCAATATTTGAAATTCGAGCTGCATAATTTATTTAGGATTGGTAAATCAGGTCACACTGTTCTCTCTGTCTGAGGTAGTATGAGGAACACTACTTCCTGTGCACACAGTTGTGTGTTCCTTCTCAAAATCAGACTTCCATAAATTCTCATGGGAAACAAAATTTGAATTATTGCTTTTAATACGTCTTTCTGCTTAAAGTAAATCTCAGTTGATTGTTATTTCAGCAAGAAACAATTTTGAATGGACTCTGTGTGACTGTGGTTAAAGAGAATTCATTTAAGAACTTTAATGATTACTTGTGAACATTTTTTTGTATTATTCATACCATTTTTGTTTATTTACAAAAAAATTAATTAGATAAAAAAGGCCATCAGTCCTTAAAACATCCTTTAAAAAGACAGAAAAATACCAAAATAACAAAAAGATAAAAATAAATATTTCCAGTGTTCAAAGAGGGGAATGCTGAATCATACAGCATTTGGCAAAATTTGGCAAAAGCAGAAAAACCTGATCACTCCATTTTGCACCATTAATCAAAAAACACAATTTAACAAACCAGGAATGAGCTCCAATCTACAGTTTTTTGTTTTCTTTCCACAGACCAACAGGATTCTGGTTAAGAAGGTTCCTTGTGGACCATAATTGCTATGCTGTTTGCAAATGTTGGTATAATTTGGAAGTGTAAAATTATTTTCATGTGATGGTTCCAGAGATTCAGCTAGTCCACTGTTGAATGGAGAGAAAGCAAAAAGAATAAAAGAATATTCCAAGATGTGGTCATTTATTTTTGCAGGGGTTTAATTATTATATGTATAAGCGTGCATTTTCTAAGTATTTTGATAATTTAGAGAAACAGATTTTCTGTGAGAGAACTGGGAAGGAAGGGAGTGATTATATACAGATAGCGAATGGCATCATGGAAAAGCTCATAAATAAGTAAAATAAGCATGAACACACACAGGGCAGCTGTCTTAGTTCCCAGCTTCTCAGATGTCTCTTTCATACAGGCCTTCTCTCCCCATTTACTCCTCCTGACCAAGGCCAGCTCCTTGCTTTATATTTAAAGCAGCCATTGCTTCACCATCTGACAGATCAGCATAACCAAGATTTTAAATAAGCCAAGGTAAACTTGACCACTCTGCTTTACAGCCACAAGAGCAGACAGACTCTCCAGTAATTGTGCCATAACATAAAGCCCATGTAGAACACATACTTTTCAAAATTACAGTCATCAAAAACGTTCAGTTTTCTCTACCAAAATGCTGACCTGATGCAGACTCCCACAATATATAGCTATGCACTAAGAGTATGCATTTCAGCATCCTTCACAC